AGTAGCAACAGATAAGTCGGACATCATTTCTAAGTGCAAGAGTGATGTGATGTTGTGGAAAGGGCACTTTGCGCACGTAAATGCAAACTACGCTCAAACATATATGGAAACTGAAATACATACATGCCCTGCAGGGAAAAATGCTGGTTTTTAAGTGGAATCAAACTGATTTCATATTCGCACTTACTGATCCACCTATGCCCCATCTAGGTAACTGCAATTTTGAACACGGCGATGTACTACGTCAGTTGAACGAATAAGCATCAGCCTTATACCAGTTATATACTAGTTAATTTAGGCATATTGAATTTCTATTTCACTAAAAGATAAAAAATCAAACAAAAATGAACCTAATGCACTACAGCGATGCCCTCTAACCGCTCGGATATTGGAGCTTAACTAAAAATGGCGTGCTAATCCTCTTACTGGTGAACTTGTATAGCAGTAACGAAGTGATATAAATTCATATTCAAATCACTAGTAGTTATTTAGACTTTTTGCACACTAGTCTTCCAGCAGGGTGCTTTCTCTTGTATGCCGGTGGTACGTTACACTACAACTGCTTAGTGTTGTATTTTGCAGGCGATTTACAGCGCTCAAGCACCATAAGTACCTCCGACATGTTTCTTCTCCTCAATCTTCACATGTCCGCTCCATTCAGGTATTTGTACATATTTACATTTCGCATTTGTATTCAATCGCGTTTAGTATTCTCATTTTATATGCTAAAAATGCAACAGAAAGATTGATCTATGCACAAACCACTGGTACTCGAGGAAGATTTATGGTGAATTTAATGGACTAGGTAAATACATGAATATTTCTGTTGCAGCCAAACTGGATATACGTGTAGTTAAGCCATTCTGCATTTGGTTTGTTTTTCATTTCTTATTCTTTTATTTAAACAAATATTTAGAAGCATTGCTGGTGGAATGGCTGAATTTTAAATCCGCTAAATTGTTGATGTGCTTAAATTGATGGCGGAAAATGTAGTTGGTCACGTGCAATAATGAAATAAAATCAAATACTTATTTTATATTTTTCATTTTCTAAATCACTAAAAATATTTATGTATTGATCATTTTAGAAAATACGCATTTCTTTTACAATTACAACCTCAAAAATATTTCAATTTTTTATTTGCTTAATGGATTTTGGTTCAAATATTGGCCAAATTTCCTTAAAGCTTAAATCTTGGAACCATTGGAATGGAAATTTCTGAGTGTAAAAAAAGTGGTGCTCAGCACATCAAAACTTCAAACTTTTTTTAATCTTGAGCTAACCAATCAAAGGTTAAAATTAACTGAATGCACTCCTAGCAAATTAACAAGCTCATAATTTACATCTGTTGCTCAAATTTCTATAAATATTTACAAAAAAGTGCTTTCTTCACGCTTTTGACCTCAATCTCGATTTTATTTTCAATTTATTTGAACGCATTTTTTTCTATTATATTGGATGAGTGCATAAGTTCGTGCCCGATTTCAAGTGCAAACTAAAATTGAAATTTTTTGAAGAAAGCGCTTTTATTAATCAATTATGTATTCGCCATCATGTTCGGCAATCCACTCCCAACGTTCAACCAATTTACGGATGCCTAATTCATAGAAATCGCGCGGTTTCTCGTTGCAGAAGGTGTCATGGTGGTTTTTGATGTCTTCCACATTTTTAAATTTTTTTCCATTCAAATTGTTCTACAGCGATCGAAACAAATGATAATCAGAAGGTGCAATGTCGGGTGAATATGGGGGAAACAAATGATAATCAGAAGGTGCAATGTCGGGTGAATATGGGGGATGCGGCATGATTTCCCAATTCATCTGCTACAGTTTGGCCAGGGTCGGTTTTGCAACATGTGGCCTGGCGTTGTCATGATGGAAAAGAACTCCTTTGCCATTGGCCAAAATCGGACGTTTTTCATCAATTGCTTTCTTCAATTCGACCAATTGCTGGCAATACTTGTTGGCAGTGATCGTTTCTCCAGCTGGCAGGAGCTCAAAATAGATTACGCCTCGGATATCCCACCAAATGCACAGCAGTACCTTTATCGGATGCAATCCCCCTTTCGACATCGGTTCCGCCCCTTCGTGTGCCTTTTTCCATGTTCTTTTGCGTTGAACATTGTTGTACAGAATCCATTTTTCATCACCAGTTACGAGCCGATCCAAGAAAGGTTCGTTTTTGATCCGTCGAAGCAAAGAAATTGCTGTTGACATACGGTCCACTTTGTTTTTTTCACTCAACTGATGTGGCACCCATGTATCGAGCTTCAAAGTGTACCCAACCTTTTTTAAACGACGAAACGCAGTTGATTTGTTGACGTTCAATTTACTGGCAACCTCTTCCGTCGAAATACGTGAGTTATTCGCAACTAAAGTCCTTAGACTCAGAAGGCTGTCCACTGCAGCACCTACTGTTTTTCCTTTGCGGAATTCGTATAACATAATATGACGCATATGATCTTTTTCGTTGATCATGCTTGATTTACAGTTCGGACTGTCACCTTTCCAACGATATATAATATGCATATATTTCTTTCACGAGCGCCACTCTCAAACGATTCGAACGGCATCTAGCGGAATCGGGCACGAACTTATGGACTCATCCAATACAATAGATGAATTTTTCTGTTTTTAATTTGTCGCTCTCCACCTGAACTTTCCTCTTCCTCTACCATTCAGCTCACCGTTTCTTCGTATGCGGTATTCGCCGTTGCCAATGCGCAATGGACCATAAATCGTACGCAAAACTTTTCTCTCGAAGATTTTTAGGGCCGACTTCCGTACCATATAATAGGATGGGAACGATGAGAGACTGGTAGAGTTTGGTTTTCGATGGTCGGGAGAGGACTTCGAATTTACTTTTCAATTGCCTGCTCAGTCCAAAGTAGCACCTGTTGTCAAGAGAGACTCTGCGTTGGATTTCTAGGCTGATATTGTTGTTTGTGTTAATACTGTTTCCAAGATAGACGAACTTATCTAAGACTTCAAAGTGATGACTGTCAACAGTGACGCGGGAGCCGAGTCGCGAATGCGATGACTGTTTGTTTGATGGCAGGAAGTCTTTCGACTTGCCCTCGTGAACTACCAGACCCATTTGCTTTGCTTCTTTATCGAGTCTAAGGCAGAACTAACGGCATGGTTGTTGAGACCAATAATGTCTGTACACTCTTATAGAAGAGGGTTTGGGAACCGCTATAAGAAATAATTAACACCAATGAAAAAAAACTAAGGTCTCGAATAAGAGATTCCTTTTTTATGAGTTTAATGATAACGATTTAAAGATCTCCTAATTGGTTATCTCGAATAAACCCAGCCTTTAACAGCACAGTAAGGGGCTGTCTCTATGACGCTATGTCTGAAATTGGTATCCCCGCAAACAAAACTGAACAAGTCGCTCATCGTTCCCATCCTGCTATATGGTGCGGAAGCGTGGACGATGACAGTATCCGATGAGTAGACGTTAGGAGTTTCTGAGAGAAATGTTTTGCGCGTTGGCAACGGCGAATATCGCAGACGATGGAACATAGAGCTGTATGAACTATATGATGATATTGAAATAGCCCAGCGAATGAAAGGAGAGCAGCTACGCTGGATAGGCCATATCGTCCGAATAGATTAAAGCACTCCAGCTTCGAAAGTATTCGATGCAATAGCCGCTATTGGGAGCAGAGGAAGGAAAAGACTTTCTCTCCATTGGAAGGATCTGGTGGAGAGCGACTTGTTTTCAACTGGTGCGAAATAGTGAAAAGAAGAGATGAATGGCGCGCTAGCATTGATTCGGCTATTACCGCGTAAGCGGTGCCAATGTCAATAAAGAACAAGAAGGTTCCCAAACGCCACGCACTACAATTTCTTAAATATAATTTTTTATAGTTATATTTACATATATATTTTTTGCTTACTTTTTATGGCTTTATTTTCTTAATAAATGGAATAAATTCATCTCTCCTCCATATTTCATTTAATGCATTTTTCTTACCCTAAAAAGTCTGCTAATTAAAATTATTATCTCTTAAGAAGAATCTGAAACTATCTAAAGACTCCCATAAATAACTACATTAACTCTTTAACGTTTACTCACATACATACACACTTACATCTATATGTAACTCATGGACTTTATACCAGCATTTATAATTACACTCATTATAAGCCAGCAGACAGACATACACACACACACGTCTATACAAACACAGAAACACTTACAAATTACCACCCACTGCAAGCGTCAAGTACAAAAGTGGCCAAGATTACTTATGCATTGTCAGCAGCAAATCTCTGCCAATCTGCTGCATGCAACACAAATATGAACATGCAATGAGTGTTATAGTTGTATATGCGTTTATATATGTATAAATGTGTGTTTGTTTGTGATATTCTTTTAGCAATGAATATACAGAGCACATCTGTTGTTTTGAGTGGCTACACAAGAGCACCACTAAGCGCTTTCACTACCAGAGCCAGTCACTGGCAGCTACGGCAGGCCGTCAGCTTAAAGCCCGTGTCAGTGCAATGGGAAATCCTTGACTTTGTAAACACTTGACCACTTGTTAACCAGCAGCGGGGCGGGAGATAGTCGTATATACATATTTATATATTTAAAATGGCATAAAAAAAGGCAAAAGCAGATAAGTTGAGGCGGAAAAGAAGAAGAAGACTTTTAAAAATGGAGAAATCAAAATTTGTGTGAGAGCGAGCAATCAAATTCAGCAGCTGTATAAGCGCTCAGTAGAAATTTTCTACGACTCTCTTACTCTCTTTCTCTCTCTCGCTGTTTTTCTCTGGTCACTGGACATTAAGTATACGCAGTGGTGAGCATAAATGAGTGAGAGGCATATTTCTGTGTGTATTAATGTTTAGTTAAATATGCTGGTGCTTGTTGTGAAATATGTTTGTATCACTTCATTTGTTTTACTTTATTTTGTATGTATATTTGCGTAAATTTCGAAGAGCCTTCGGACGGTACGATTTCAGTTTCAGTTCAGCTCGAGTGTTCAATGTTGGTAGACTTGTCTCTACGCACAGCGTTAACGACTAACGTTACAAAAATAAAATATAAGTTAAAATTAAATAAAATATATTCGCTATACTATGCGAGCGATAGAAAAATTGTATAAGAAGTCAAAATAAAAGAAATCATAAATCTTTCATTTAAAAACTAGAAATTTTCAATCGAAATCGGGAAAGCAGCAAATGTGTAGTGACAACCATAGTGTTTTTGTGTGAAAATCTCAAATCAGCTCAGCTCACTCATATTTAAAGCAAGAGTGTAGATACAAAAGCGAACAGTAAGCATCGCACAGTGAACGATTGCAGATGGAGGACGCATAGCGCAAAGCTGGCAGCTCGTCGCTACAAGTAGTTAAACCAAAAGCGTGTGAATAGCAACATATGTGTGCTTAAATGTGAAATTGCATTGAACAATTGGCAGCAAGAGACAAATTAAAAAAAAAAAAATTTTTCATCAACAACAAAAATTGAAAAAACACAAATGTCTTGAACTGAAAAAGCGTTAAAGGTTAAAAAAAAAATTAAATAATTTACGCATACTGCAAAGGTACAAAAACACAAATGTGTTAGAAGCAAATTTAAAAACGAAAATTCTTTAAAACATAACACTTCCACCTACCGAGCGCTTCCGCGTAGCACGCGATAATAACGGTATTACTAAAACTATTAATCACAGAAAATGACCGAAGTAATTGAGTTGAACGTCGGCGGTGTACACTACACCACCGTGCTGGACACACTGCTCCAAGAGAAATCCTCACATCTACACGAACTCTTCAGTAATCTAGACGCATTGGTGAAGGACAACAAAGGACGCTACTTCCTTGACCGTGATGGCGTACTTTTCCGCTACATCCTAGACTATTTGCGCGATAAGCAACTCAGCCTGCCGGAGGGCTTCCGCGAAAAGCAGCGTCTACAGCGTGAAGCGGAGTATTTCAAACTCAGCGGCATGTTGGAGTGTCTACGCAACGGCGGTGATATGCGTGCACCCGGCTGCATCACTATCGGCTACCGTGGCAGCTTCCAGTTTGGCAAGGATGGCCTCGCCGATGTCAAGTTCCGCAAATTGTCACGCATTCTCGTCTGTGGGCGTGTGGCGTTGTGCCGCGAAATCTTCAGCGACACATTGAATGAGTCACGCGATCCCGATCATGGTGGTCCCGATCGGTATACATCACGTTTCTTCCTCAAGCATTGTTTTATTGAGCAGGCTTTCGATATGCTGCACGAACGTGGCTTCCGCATGGCGGGCAGTTGTGGTTCGGGCACAGCTGGTTCAGTGGCGGAACCGAAACCGGGTGTGGACACAGAGGAGAATCGATGGAATCACTATAATGAATTTGTTTTTGTGCGGGAATAAGGAGGTGGGTGTTTGAGGTAGCAGAAGCAGCAGCAACAGTCGTCTGTGTGTGATTTTGTTGTAAAAGTAAATGTAAGTTATGTTTGATTGTGGAAAATTGACAACGGCGCAACACTTGATAATTAGTATGCTAAGCGTGTGTCCATAGAAGTTTAATGTGCAGCGCGAATGGCAATGAAAGGGGCTCAGAAAGTCATAAGAAAAGAGCGTAAAAAATTTACAAGCATTTTCTATTGCCGCAGGCTAAACCAAATCCACCAGCCAGCAACTAGTTGGCGCGTCCTAAACTCAACTTTGGCATTCTACGAAGCAACATGTCATTGCATTGAGCTTTTAGCACCGACAAGTGCACGTTTGTATGTATGCATATATATCTACAAATGTGCGGCTTACAATATTTACAGTTATGTGTGCTATTTTTTATTACCACATGCAACGTGCAACACTTAGCCTGTGGCAACCTGTTTTTACCATCTTCATTCGCTTGCTTGAGAAGGTCAAAGCAACTGTATATTATTGCAAGATGCTTCGTGGATTTTGTATAAAAAAAAAATTTATGTAATGAATGCCAAGATGCAATGTATTTCACGAACACTTAAACCGTTAGGCACGCAGAGGACATAACTATTTATTTTTCTTTTGCGTGAGAAATATGTGTGTAAATCGGCGTAAATACTTAAGCTAAGTAAAGTTGCGAAATGAGTGCATACATAGATACATATATACATACATACAAAGAGACATTATTATACGCGCTTTTTCCTACTGATATTCATTTTTACGCTCTACCATGCCTTACCCAACAAGGCAAAGTGTGGGGTAATTAAAATAAAAAATACGAGAAAAATTCCTACTTAAAACACACAAAACGCTGTAAACTCTCCTAGAGGCAATTAGCCAAGGAGATCTGCATAAGGTGTAGGGCTTGTGCTTATTGGGCGTAAAGTGTACGCCTTTAATGACGGATACTTATATATTTTCCACTAATCTTGCCTTGCTGAAATGATTAGAATCTGAATTTCTTTTTATTTAATTCTTCAACAGCTTGAAAAGATATTGAAGGCTGTCTAATCAAACCAAGTAGATTAATTTGAAAAAAAGTATCTATCTTTTGACTTTTATCAGAAAAAAGTTAAGCTATTTTTAGCTGGATATATACATGTATAAACGATTGGTTGCCAAGTACCTACTACAATTTGTGGTTTTGCATTTTGACAGTTTAAACTGCCGCCTACGAACGGATGATGGATTTTTTTTTACGAGGAGCCTTTATTTCATGTCCCAAATACAGTCGGAGGGTCTGACATTCCCTGCCGAGGGGCAACCGCATTTAGAAAAATTAGTTTAATTTTTTTTTAATTAATCTTCTATAACTTTTGGATGTTAGTACGATACCAGGATTTGAACTCGAGCCTTCCAAATGGCAGTACGCAATGCTAATCACACGGCTACCGCGGCCGCCAAGACCTGACTGAGATTAGGGGAATCTCGATATTTTCTTTAAACAAATCCACACAAGGTTGAACAGAGGGGGAAATGTAACCCTGGTAAGTTTGGGGATCAAAAACCTTCCATTAATTTTCTCAGTATTGTGATCGCATGGGAAGACATATTTTGTCGTCTCAAAGTATTCACTGTCAAAGAATGTCAGCGAATTATTATAAATACTTATTATGAAGCGCGGCAGCTGGAGTAAGATGACCTATGCCCTTTGGCAGACCCGTGACATAGTAAAATATCTACTTGAATCAGACTCCATCAGCATTGCCATAAACTTGTGAAGAACTCTTCTCTGAATATTTAGTTTTCAAATACTGTGCGTACGTTTAAAGTGCTCTAATATTCAATTCAAAAAAATTGCTTCCTTCTGTTTTGCATTGTGCTCCAAATCTCAATACTTTAGTGATAGACAAACATCCTTGCGTCCACAATCTACAAAACACCCGCTCAAAGTATTTTCTACTTCTGTCTTATAATAGCGCCACCTTCAAATTTTTGCAAGGTCCAACGGAGGGAAAGTCTAGTGAATATTGTCATTTTAAATATTTGACATTTACCTATAAATGGAAAAATAATTTAGGAAAACTAAAATATATGTTTGCTATGATATGAAATTACTAATTGACTTAGGTAAATTTTTTATAAATTTTTTTTTTTTTGTGTTCTCAAAAACTAAAATCAATTGCAATATTTGCCTTAAATTTTTAGCTTTTTTAGAAATTTGTATGCCTGTTTTCAGCGTTTTTTTAGGGCCAGACAACTGGATCACTGTAAGAATTCTGGGTACACTGTTGCCAATCCGTCTAGTGAATTAAATTTTAAATTTTCATTCAGTTGCTGATTTGATTTGGCGGCCGACAGCCGAGTAGTTAGTATAGCATTCCGCCATGCTAAAGATTACGGTTCGAGTCCTGATACGATCAACATGCAATGGTTACAGAAAATAACTTTATCCATATGCGGTGGCCCCTCGAGAGTAAATATCCAGCCCTCTGAATGTATTTCTGACATGAATTAAAAGCTCTTCATAAAAATCCATCCGCCTTTCGGAGGCGGTCTATAATAAATTGTAGATCTGTACATTTTCTTAGGAAAGAACATTAAGGCACATGCCACAAATCATCATTTGAGTAAAAGCAAACCAAAATCTCGAACCGAAATAAATGAATAAATTTAACGTCACGGCGCTTGCCGTTGACGGCTATCTTCGAAAATATAAATTATGAAATTTGTTAAGAAAAATTATAAATTTGTTTAAAAGTATGCAAACACATTGGCAATTGCGCAACATTTCGCTGCTAAAAGCAACGGTTACGGTTTTGTCTACATAAGCCTTTTCCAGTTGGGTCATCCCACTGAGAGGTATATAAACTGGCTAGTCGGGCTGTTAGGTAATCATCACAACTCTAACTTTAAGGCGAGGCAATTCTTTCTTTATTTACCTTACTTCTTCTATTAAGAATAATTATTTTTGCCGAGATATGACTGCCTGTCGGTAAGCTGCCTTAAGAATTTCTATTTTTTTGGTAATTAAAAAATTTAGGAAATTAAACAGTGTCTCGGTTAGAAGGTGAGTTCGTTTTATTGTTTTATTGTAATGAATATATATTATATTTGCCTTCAGTTGCCAAAAAGAAACATATACATTTAAAAAAGTCTCGGGGTATTTCCTGAGGCTAAACATTATCCACCATGTGAGGCTCACAGAATATGGCTATTGAACTTAAACGTTAGCTTCTGTTGAATAATTAATCGTGTTTTATGCGGAACTCCACATCATTCAAATGATTGCTTTACGAATTTCAGCAAACCTTGATCCATTTGAGGTAATTTTCGAACACTTTTTAACACGTATAGCGAGGTATCTCAGCCATAACTTGACGAATGTTGGTTTTTAAGTGCTCAGGAGTTCAAGGTTTATCCGCATAAACACGCTCTTTCGCATCCCGACCAAAAAAAAAAACGTCCAACGGTGTCCAATCGCACCATCTCGATAGTCAATTGATATTGGCAAGATGCGCCCGGAAAATTTCCGTCGCAATAAAGTCATATTGGCTCGTATTGTGTATCATTTGTTGAAACCACATCTGGTCGAAGACGTGTACTTCAACTGCAGAACAAAAAAGGTCGGTTATTATACGATCAGAATGCTCCCAATTGACAGTGAACGCCACGCTGTTGTCGTGTACAAAGAATTAAGGGCCAATCACACCTCCGATTTAAAGAGCGCACTAGACAGTGAGTTTTTTAGGTGTAACGGCACCTCTTTAATTCTCCAATCCCGCATGGGAAAATTTTGCTTATTTACATATATTGTAAATATTTGGCACTTTGTAACCGCTGAAGCGATTTTCGGCCGAGCTCCTCCTTCAATTTTTGGTTTTTCGTGTTGACGTTTTTCCAACAAATCTGTGGACCTACAATTTACACTAAGTCGCCTCTGGCTGATGATGTTTTATGATCACCTTTTTTCATGTCAGAAATACACTCAGATGTACCTCGTGTAAAAAATGTTCTTTATGAGAAATTGAGTTCGCTTTTCAAGGTATTTTTTCAGAACTAATGAGTGTGTTTTACTGTTACTTTTTTCGACTGAAATTTGTCCATGACCTTTCGAGACTTAAAGAGGCAGGAATTTTTCCTTAGGGTTTTGCTTAACAAAGAGACCTTTGTATTAATTTTTAAATTGTGATAATCAATTTTTCTTAGCTTCTGATATTCACTTTCACAAAGAAAAAATTTAAATATAAGAATTTTTGAGTTTCCGCCATACCTTTGACAGGCTTACATAACCTTCAGCTAATGAAGACCTGCACAAATCTATAATGTCCAAAACGTATGCAGTAATATATGTATGTATGTATGTATATATTCGAACAATTTTATAAACGCCAAAGCGCACTAATACAGCGGCGACTGTTTGCAAAACTTTATATGTTAGTAAATGAATGCCAAATGAAAACAAAAAAGAAAAAAAACCAAAAAATATTTAAAACGAAATGAAAATAGAAAATTAACTATATCATTTTTAAGTGGGTAGAAATTTAAATTGAATGAAAATGAAACTTAAACAAACACTGTGTTGATACAAATTAAATAAACAAAAGTATTAAACTAATATTAGTACGGGTCTTAGCATTTAAATATAAAAATGGAAAATTTAACTAAAAAAAACTACAATTAAATTAGTAAAAAAAAGGAAAAAAGAAGAGCGATAAAAACGTAAATATTTTAAATTTACATAACTGGAACAAAAGCAAATTTATGACCAAAATGCCAAGTGGAGAAATAAAATTTATTGCAAAGGCAATTAGTAAATATGAATTTGCGATTGTTGCCAATTTTTGAGAACTCAAGCCAAGGGCGAAGCCAATGAATATAAATGAATAGCGTAGCATAAATTTATGTAATAAAAAGCCTATATAAATGCATAATGAACATTCTGCAATGGAAAAAAAAAAATCAATTGAAAAAATATAATTTTAAATTTAATTGGCGGGCATGAAAATGTTTATTTCAGGCATTTTATTAATAGAAAAATATATGTTTAATTAAAAGCGGGAATACAGCTCGCAGTTCTGCTATTAATTTGTACGTATTAATGTGCATTACATAATGTATGTAATGTTATATATATATATATGCGCATATATACGTGTATTATATTTATTATCAAATTGTAATTAAAATGTTAAACAATAAATGACGGCAGTAAAAAACAATAATGCACAGTAGAAAATGTAAAAACCAATAATGAATAAAGATTTTGAACGTATATTCATGACAAATATATATATATATATATGTATGTATATATGTTTAAAGGAAAAGTTGTGTGTATGTATATGTAAAAGAGATAATTAAAACCAACACTACATAATACGAATAACAGAAAATGTGCAGACAGTTGATATTATAAAGGAAAGCAAAGCAATTTGGCTATAAAAGTGAAATTGATAGTAAAATGAAAGAGCAGAATGCATTACTACATCGCAATAAAATAGATGTTTGTATGTACGTTGAGCATTTCGTTAGATGCTGACAAAATTGTTAGAAAATACAAACCCAAACCCACAGCCAAACAATCAGCAGCAAAGGCAATGGATAATGGAAAACTGACAACACCACCAACCAGAAAATTAAACAGAAAAAAGAAAAACAGCACAAATGTATAAATTGTTACACCGGAAAATAAAAAACAAAAACCAAGCCAAAAACAAAAAAGAAAATTTTAAACAACCTCCCACCTTCAACTGTTCAATGGATTCTAATACTCTTTATTTTCTATGAAGCAATATTTATCTATGTATTAAATGTATGTATGAATATTACTGTAAGTTGTTATCTATTTACAGTGCAAGCTCATTTGTTTGTTTATATATAAATTCATTGCCTGAATATTACACTAAATTATAATTGTAATGTTGGTACGGCTTGCGACTGGTCTGCGCGCAGCCGGCACAAATGGCTAAACAAAACCATGTAAATAACGAAAATACGCTAAGTAAATAGTGATGAAAATGCAAAAAAAAATTGGAAACTTATTTTCAAAAATATTTTTTTTAAATTAGGAAATGAAATAGTCACTCATACGCCAAGTCATCCGTCGACACAGGTTATATGTATATCTGAGAATAAAGCAAGTTAAAGCAACAAAAAATAAATAAATAAATAAAATGAAATCAAATACTATTAAATTAAATTTAACTATATATGATAACAAATTAAATCATATATCATAACATGTATTATCAAATTAAAAAAAAAAAAAACAAAATAAATAATAACAATATGAAATAAAATTAA